AATACCATCTAAAAGAGTAACAGACGCGATTGTTTTGTACAATGCAACAATCGCAAAGTTCCAATGTACGTTGCTATGATTCCACGGAATCAATACAGAAATCCTCTCGTACACCTGTGGCGGTCCCTTAAGTCGTAAGCTTTCTGCCCTACGATACTTGTATAAGTCCTTCATCCATAGTCCATGTGCATCAGCATCACAGAAACGAACAGCCTGAGAGGGTAGTTGCGGCAAATGGTAGAACACCCCGGATATAAGCGAGCCTTTGATCTACTCCCCTGGTTCGCAGCATTATAATACAGTATTTTTCTGCAAGGTCCAGTCGCTGATATAAAATGACTTCGACTCTGCCACAGTACCTATCGTTAGTAAACAGTCTATAATTGTTTTTAATTGAGTACGTATAACTTCTTTGCTACGCTAAGCTTCACGAGAAAAAGTATCAAGAATTCACAGTCAGTGGAAAATAGAAGACATATCGTTATCTGGCACATATTTTACTTGACAGTGGTCGGGAATTTGAAGGCTGCTCTAAGAGAGAATCATATACAGGCAATCATTTGTTTACACCATCTATGCAACGATAATATGTACTTGCTTGAAAATTTGATGTACAACAGGCGTTTGGAGTTTTGACATCATTGGAAAGATAAGGTATTTTATCTTCCCACAGGAAGGTGTTTTTTTTCCAAGTAAAATGATCGGACCTCGTCCGATACTAAATTTGCATTAATCAAAATTATCAATTTTGAAAGTATTGAACAACATACCGCCTTATTCAGTGCAAGATGAGAGACAAACCTTTTCAAGGTGGCGCGACTCAAAACACTAGATGAACGTCTGTGAATGTATACATCTGTCATTAGCGCCACTAAAAGGCCTACTACGAAGTGGGACAGCGGATTCGAAAGAAGTTTGTACCCATGTTATCCGCCTTGTTTTAACGATATGTGCACCTCTAATTTGGTAGTGTGCGCAAGTGTCGCAGGCGGACTCCAACTCTCATTGGGATGACAACAGCATGGCAACGATCAAGGATAATGTTTTCGTGTTTCTTGTTTCCATTCTATCATTGCATAGTCTATCAAGTTTACGACAATACTATCAAGTGTTACGACAATACTATCAAGTGATACGGCAATACTATCAAGTGTTTCGATAATACATCATTTTTTATCGACACTCAGTACGCTGATTCTGAACTGCACACAATACAAACTAAATCAAACATGAAGAAAATGCGTGAAGAATATTTCAATTCTGACTCTCAACATGTGACCCCAACGTGTCGTAACAGATTATTCAGCAGGACACTTGTTTGCAGTATAACTCGGTGACTCTAAACTGGTGTAAACATAACATCTTTTTGAGCAGGCGCAAGAAAAATAAGCACACTGCCGTATGCCGTCACTGAGGTATCGAAGTAGAAGACTGATTTCACTTTAAAACGGCAGAGCAACTATAAATTGTTTACATTTTACAAAGATGCCCTAAGAACATGAGGTTATACTAAATCAAACACTTCGCGTTTGTCCGTTCTCATTTCCGTTAAAAATAGTTTTTTTTTTTGCATTTGAACTTGGTAGGAAAGCACTTAGTTTTCATTTATCATTCAGATTCAACCAGAAACCGTAGCCCGTATCGTTTGAGAACAGTAGCGACGATTGTAAAACATGCGAAGTAGACAGGTATACTATTGCCAAATTCAATGAATGAGAAAGAAATAGGTTGGGAATTATATAAAAATCATAGGGAAACGTACATGATCAAAATCGTTAGATAGTATGACCAATGTCATTCGACTCATCCGGAGGTTTAATGTCACAGCGCCATTGTTGACATATTGCAAGAATCTTATTGTTCGGTTGACAAATTACTCACAAAGCCTCGCAGGGCTGCAATATAGTTGACAAATTGCCAATTGCAAAAAACATTCTGCCAAGAGTTTTACTACGTCAGATCGTACAGCAAACTTTTACTTCGTCAGATCGTACTGCAAAATTCTACCATCCCACTGAGTAGATGCAATAAATACAGAGTTACTATCCATGTCCTAAGTAGTTGATCGATTCACGTGAGCACAGTCCCGCAAATTGTCAAAAGAAGGTTCAGACTTGCAATCTGGTTGCATCTTGGACTCTCACTATTTTTAATCGAGTCGTAAGCTATTAGAATTCAATGTAGCTTGCACTGATTTGGTGTGACGTATCAACAGCGTTGCGTAAGTATCATGTTATTTTGCTTAAAACGAGATGAAGCATAATTCAGTGCAGTATTAATCTTAAACATCGGGCGACATATATCTGTAGGGTATAAGTCACGGATCGTTTATTCTATAGCTAGTTGTCAGCGTGTGTGACTTCTTGAGAAGGCAATATACATTACGAACAAGACCTTCCTAACATCACGATCAGAAGGACCGATATGAATAGTCAGACAATGCCAGTACAATCTCTCCACATCGTGGTATACTGCTATGTGTCGTACTATCTCTGTCTTCATAGGCAAAACCGCTGCACCTCATCAACTATAGTCAGGAAAAATTTCAAGCGGATGGGTGTGAACATCAGCATTTTAGCGGACCAGTGTAATATCAGAATATAGCATACAGTTCGCACGGGAAAAGATGCGGAACCCTTCTACCTGATGAAGCTCGAGCTATACGGTCGATCAAATGACCTTAGCAGATTCGGAAGGACGAGTATGAATAGAAAATATGATATTGGCAAGGCATAATTCAGCCTCAAAAACGGTATATAGTTGTATAATCTGATAGCTTGAAAAATCAACCCGTCCATGCGTTGTTTCAGTTTTGCTGTAGTAGGCCACTTGAAAATTAGGATATATTGCAGCATCAGTCCGAAAGCATGAACCCTTTTTATGTACGGAATGCGGTCATAAAATTTAATCATGCCACCTTCAAATATCATGAACACAACGGTTCATTGGACAACACACCGAGTATATAGCTTTCTACTTGGATCCTCTAACTGTGTTATCCATACATATCTTCTGGTCCTTGTGACCCGCTTCTCCATTTTATTCCGCATGGACTCATGCCCGCTATTGTGACTCCTCACACATCTATATCAATCCACCAACTGTTAGATTGATCATGTAGTGCTGTTAGAATCATCGTAAGCTTTAGCAGTAGTGATGTCATATGCTAGGCGACAAGAGAACAACATATAGTCCAAATCGCGGCTGATCGATACGGATCGCATACACACATGTCTACTACTGTCATCTGAATGAGAAATTTTCTACTACTAGACTGCTGCATTGCCCACAAACCTGGTCGTGAAAGGTGCAAACGAAGATTATTGACACAGAAAACTAATGAGGGGGCTTTACGGTTTACGGTACACACATACAAAACTGCTTACACACTTATGACTACATAGATTGTACCCCTCTTGGCATACAACAGCTTCGCCTAAGCACCCGAGTGAAACGTTCAAGCGCAACCACGCGTTCATTTAATTCGTACACGCATGTGTATATAAAGTAGTCTCAGTCATTGCAGTATGCTTGACAGCCACTGCACAGAATTCTCTGTATGAGGATGTCAAGTATCTGAATTAGTATAAAATTCCGCGACAATGTGCATCAACACACGGTAAATGAAATCCATCCATAAGAAGCAAACGTGCTTAATTGATGTTCATATAAGTGGAGACCACCATTGTACAGAAAACGGAAAGGAAGCCATGCATGACCCAATATAAAATACTTTCGATGCCAAGTCGCGCTCGAATAAATTTTAATTTTTCACCGCCGTTAATCATTGCATGGCTACCGCAATATATACTAGGTAGCGTTAAGCTGCTGGTAATTTGGAAAGCAATCGTGTACATACCAATACGTGAGTACGTGTTCCATGGTTAAATGATCGGCTAGAGCCATTTACCCTGGTTCTAGTGGTCTGATATGGTCACCAACCCTTCGATCGATGTCGTAGCATGAGATCAATATACGACGTACTTCCTATCACAATCTTCATATCTGGTATTGAGTGGGATGACCCACTTATTGCCAATCGATAGTTGAGAACGAGCTTGATTATAGGACTAGCTTGCGATATGTGTAGCTTTCGGATGCGTACTATCGATGCGACCATGCAGCCAATAAAACAAGCATTGCAGTGTAACCACCAGAAAAATCCATTCCAGAAGTGCCGCAACAACCATGTGCAACCAGACGACTAGAAATACTACCTCTACTATTCGTCAATAGCCAGTACGGTGATAGGATAAGGTCACCTATTCACTATTGTGATGAAGGACACGAGAAATCAATGCTAAAAAGCATCGAGCGATTTCGTGGGTTGTGAGCGAACCACACGACGATAGCAGGGTCAAGGTGCGGGTAGGATTGTCTATGATAATACTCGAAATATTTCCGTAAACTGTATCATAACAGTTTCTAGCACCATTATATCATATGAATTGGATTGGGCTGTTATCTTCGTTGGCTACATCTCGGATGTAGCTGTACCTCGTCAGCACTATATCATTCTTGCTGAGCTCCAACGGTGCCCCGCTGTTGTGACCGAAGTCGTGAAACAAAATGAGATTTGAATGGAAAACTTAAATTCGAATCACACCGAGCTCGATCAATTGTACCAGACTTATAATTTACAAAGACAAAATACATCGTCAGCATGATACTGCTTACAAAGACAAACGACACACGTATCGCCACCAAGCGATACAAGGTGTGGAATCATGCAATGATGCGACCAGCATCAATATTAAAGAAATAAAGATACGAGTAAGGGAGCGACAAAATATGAGTTAGTACGTACTAAAACGTCAATGGAGACGGAGAGGAATATGATACATACACAATGTCTATCCAATAGATGCTCTCAAGTATATTTTCTAGGGCCACGAAAAAATCAAAACCATGTAGCCTATTGAAACACAAAATAAACAGCATCGTCACGTACTCTTCAAGTGGTACATCCACATCTTCCAAAACTTTACAGAAGACTGGCCTGTTGAGTTCTGGCGGAACAGCGGTCACTGTTGTTGGGCGAGAAAGCGAATCAGGAAGTCAATGGTACAATTTCTGTGGTTGCACGGGTGCAGGAATGGAAAGCCTAACATACAAGTACTTCGCTACCAACAGATATTAGCGACAACGGAGTCACCACATATGTCATATGAAAAGCGGTTCAGCTATAATCTAGCTATCTAACACGCCGCGTACATTCAGAATGCGTGTCGTGGAAATGCCCTGATACACGAAATATGCAGGTTTAAATAGGTAGGTGAAAATATGTAGGTTTAAATAGCCGAGGTAGAGCTCAACTGATGGCATACACAAGCATGAAGAAGAACGGGACAGGCCGTATTGTCGATAACGCACCCATTTCATCTCGCTGGAGTGGATCATTTGGCAAAAGAGATATAAAAGCGTCGTCTAGTGCCTTCCTTTCGATTTCTGCGTACCTGCAATAAAAATTCATCAGCCAATGATTTACTACGCATTCTAAAATAAATGCGATCTGAAAACCTGCAAACACGGTCATATAATTGACCATGAGAGTACATGTCATTCGGTAGAGCATAGAACCGCCAAAAGTTAATTCTATGGCTGTCCAACAGTCCCAACCAGCACATATAGCCATGGCCCCTGTTACCACACGAATGAAACAAAACAAGCTATGTGCTAATACTGGTAACAAACAAAGGGTGCTCCTTCTCTCCCTGTCCGGTTTAAAAGATGGGAGTACAAATCCCAGGGCGAACATAATAGGGAATCAATAGCATGATAGCGGACCTTTGCAAGTGTAACATAGAATGACGGCTTGCACGGTCACAACCGGTGTATAAAAGACGCCCTTGCGAGACTCGCACTTAAAACCAAACGTCCACAAACGCAACGGCTCACCGGTGATAAGTGTACGTGGATCCACATCGTATGCTACACGCACACAGGTTGTGCATTCACAGTAGACAAGTTGATATACACATCGTCGAAAGCGACAGGGGCAAGCACATATCACATACTTCTGAGCCACTTCGAATTCCTTATCCGATAATCGATTTCGTAACGTCTCATTTTGTAGTATGTACAAAGCGTGTTCCTCGATCTGAAAGAAAAAGTTGCAGCGAATTTAAACGGATGCGTCTATAGAGCGGCACAAGCTTATAAGAATAACACAACACCCATAGGGACGCACGACAATACACATACAAAACTTAGCATAGCAATCCCCACGCACCTTCCATAGTCGGGTCCGTAAGTAGCTGCTCACGAGGTATCGTAATCGCTCAATTTCTTTCATATATAGTTGCGCTATAAATAGATTCGCCACGTTTGCCGTACCTGCAGCCTGTACATTTTCCTCCTGCATCAGGCGTAAACCAAGACTATTGAAGGTGAGAAAACGCACTCGAATGGGAACGATTGAAGCACATATGGAAAATTTGTATGCTGTGCGAACGTACGTTGTGAAGAGTACCCGGAAGGTGTTGCTACATTCTCGGAGTAGCGATGTTAAGTGTAGGCAGCCATTTGTGCGATAAATTCCTCGCTTTGCAAGACTATCAATCTCTCAAGGTCAGTTACGGCACAACATACAGTGTGGATGCAGGTGCGTGTTTGCGCCATTGACTGTAATATAGTGGTACGGTACGTACCTGTGATTTGATTTGCTCAATTACATCGTCCACCAGATCATCTCTGTATGACAAGATTTCGGGGGTCGCCTTCTCATTGATTAGGGCCTGTGGCCAATATAGGGGTTTGTTTGGTTTGAACGAGCGCTCAATGTAGTATAGTTCCATATCATACGGGCACTTACACTTGTCGGTAGAACTTGTAAGTGAACAGCAGCGCCGCGACTCTTCAATACAAAAGTAGACCAAGAGCGTATATATCGTAATTTCAGTCGACATATAGTACTAAAGTCGTGAGCAGGAACAGAGCGACAGACTAATTCAAAAACTGAAAGAAAACACAGTATTAAGCGAGTACTGATAT